GAGCACTCGTTAAGCTCGATCGGTTTAGAAATACGTTCTGAATCGTTGTCCCCGTGAGGCCCTGCAAAATCGCTAGAGTGGTGAGCGCCCTTAATTCAGTAACGTATTATGCTCATATTAAATTGATGTATAAACAGAAACTCTAGCGCTTCGCTCTTTTATCTACTACCGCGGTCCTTTTAGCCCATGGTTTATTTACTTCTAGGAACTCCTGGTCCTATAGCCCATCTTTTTTATGGTCCCCACCTAAGCCTCCTTAAACAACATTAACTTTTCCCTTTGTCAGTACTCATTAACCAATCGCCTTCGATTATAAATCCCACTTTTATTTCGCTATGCCTATCAGCGAACGCTTTGCATAAAACTCCGCCCTAGAGGACAGCATCCGAAAACGCTTTGAAAAGGAGTCCTTCTGGGCACAGTCAGAATCTCCTAAGATCTCCTGCGAATCACTTCCTCGTGAATCGATCGAAATCCACTCTCGCCAGTGGTCCGCATCTCCGCGCTACTTAGGAGCACGCGTCCGCCTCTCACCTAACCGTCACTACTAGTTGTTTGTTTAAGTTTGTAAAATCTTTAAAAGTGTTAGAAATAAATTCTCGTGATTGTTCAAGCTTTGCACCCGGCACCGCTTCCATTGTTCCGAATCTTCGATTCCTCGAACACATTCGTTCAAATTAAAACAGTTGTGATTCGGCATACTCTCGTGTGCATCGCCACGACAGGTTAAGAACGCTTCTTAAGGTGAAGTGAAACCCCCTTTAAATCAGTCGATTCGAATACAACACTTTTTTTTAAGGATATTAGACCAAACTGTCCGAAACTTTGACACATCACTCCTGATCATCTAAGAATTGTCCTGACACATTCAAAATTTGGATTTCTTGGAAAAATTTTTTAACTTAACCCAGACCAGAACCAAAATGGCGTCGAGCTCTCATATTTCGATCAATATACAATTATCGAAGCGTCTGATATGAGAAACGAGAGGGTCAGGACAATTTTACGACAATTTAGGACACTCTGGTAATCGATAAACTCGCATTTGAACGGGATAAAGGCAAAAAAAGTGTTGTATGCGCTTCTATGCTAAATCGATGGGAATACGAGGTCTCGAAGTGAAAATTTAATTGACCTGGAAATCACAGATGGCGCAAGGGGGTCCCTCTGCAATCAATTAGGGCCCCAGAAAGAATGAATCCAGAAGATTTCTAGAGTTTTACTTCGATTTTTTTATATTTATTGTACGATAACGACAGGTGGAGTATGCCATTTGGTACAATACCCAATATAATTCGATCCAGCTGTCAATATAAAAACGAACGTCGGCAACGTAGCCATTTAAAAAAATCTTCTTTATCGACGTCGATCAAGTTCCTCGACGTGTTTCATTTCACCTTAAAGCAGGCATGTTTCACTTTAAACATCTGCATGTTACGAAAATAATACAGATAATTAATCGAATGATTACTGTTTTTTACCACAAAGGAGATAGAATACTTGAAGGACTGGCGTTAAAGTTTGCAGGGTTGTCAACTTATTCACGATTTACGTGTAAACTTCGTGGCTGCGGTGGAACAAAACGGCGAAGTCTTCCGGAAGACTTCGCAGCCGTACGAAAAATCGCCCGACCTTTCCGCCGAGTCTGAGGTGTCGCTGCGGAAAAATCGCAGCTCTCCGCACCCGGGGCTTCAAAAGCGACGAGGGGAAAAAATGCAGAATCGCGGCCGAGCTTTCGCGGGAAGAGAAATCACCAGTGCTCCAACACCTTTCTGATTTACGGGCAGGTGACGGGACGAGTTTACTCGCGGAAGCGGGCACGCGAGGGTTTAAGCGGTCGTTTAATGGAGTGACTTTTTCAAAATGTCCTCGAATTTTGTCCTCTCGTCCCGAGGTCGCGACCGGAGGCAAGACGATAATTCGAGAAACGAGAAGTTGTATGAAAACCATTTCTATGTAAATCATATTCCGCCCTGGGCGCTCTGCGGATTGGTTACGAGCTTATGACAGATCGATTCTTTTTCTCCGGTTCTCTTTTTACGACAAGTTCGCGTCCGCGCCGTTACGAACGCCGATAGCTAACGAGCGTGGGAGTTAATCGCTTTGCACTTCGAAAAGATGCAAATTGGCTTCTGTTCTTTTCGCGCCGCCATCGACGCCACGTACGATTTCGTCGTCATCAAAGTTTCATGTTCGCTCGGCGCACGTGGTCAATTGATTTACAGTTATTACTTCAAGACACGTGAGTACAATCTGGAGTAACTGTGACAAAGCATTCCACTCTGCATATAAAGTTTCTGCGATACTTCGTGCAGGCGACGTTAGCGCCTACTCGGGTGTGCTATGTTCTTGTTTGCAGGTTTCTTCCGAATTGTAAATTTTTATGAAAGGACAGGGACATTGGATACCGTTTCGAAGACTTGGTAGGATTCTCCTTCCCTCGTTGGATGGTAGGAGGAGGATCTAAATTGACATAGAAGGAGAGCTGCAATTAACACTAGATTGTCGGAACGAGTCAGTTTGACTTATTTATAATTTTATTGCTATATATATATATATAGAAAAACTTGAATAATTTATTTTTAAAACATATGTTGGTTTTTAATAAAATTATGAAATGTATACAAATGCTAATTCCTTCCTCTCCCCACTCCTTCTAAAAATCCTTATGTGCTATACCTATTTTGACGGATGTGAGTCAAATTGACTCATTAAATATTTTTATAGTTGGTCGTTTTACACACATGTAACTTATTTCTTGTCCATAGAAATTTTTTGTAAACATTCCGATTCGATAGTTTTCATGTTCAAAGTTGTCAATTTACTAGTTAGATATCTATTGCAAACTTGCACATTCAAAATTGTGAAATTATTTGTTACGTCTTTTTTGTTGAAGGCTTTTATGAAAGCTCTGATAAAAAATTCTTTGTGTTCTTCCATTTCGATTTATGGCATTGGAGAGAATAATGCATTTTTAGTAACACAACAAAAAATAAATTTTATAAATTATTTTTGAAGAATTGTTGCGTACCAAGGTAATTTCAGAATTTATTTATAAGATGTGGTTGCTATTATGACTAAAAATGTAAGAGATCTTGAGTTGCGAAAAAAAACTGACCCAAATAAGAGGAAACCAATCAGATATCGAATCCGATGCATCTGATACTGAACTAGATGAAATAGAGAATCAAGCTAATAGGATTGAATTTTCGAGCAGTGAAGATGAAGATCTTCATCATACAGCTCTTAAAAAAAGAAGAGCTTGTTTTCTATCTGAAAGTGAATCAAGTACTAGCGATAGTGATCGTTATATAACTCTTGGCAAAAAAAGAGTACGATATATTCCTGATTTTGAAACCGAAAGTGAATTAGACCCTGCAGATAGATCTGATAATGAAGAAATTTCAACACAAAGAGCGGCTGATGGGACATTATGGGAAACATTGAAAGATGGTAAAAATACTGATAGATTTTCCGGTCATACCAAATTTAAAGACGTCTCAGGGCCAACTTCCTACTCCGAAAGAAATATTATACTTGGTACTGTAAAGAGTGCTTCCAGAATATATATGTAGCAATTGTTTTGAATAGTTTCATTAAAATCAAATTTTATTATTTTTTTTAAACTCAATTTTGATGTTTGAGCCAAATTGGCTAATTTCAGGCAAAATAGGTATATACCCAACATCCAGCAATCTAGTGTTAATGGGAAAATAAAAAAGATCTTTGGCGATGGTTATAAGAATAAAAAAAAGTGAATAAAAATAAATCATGTTGGAATGTTGAGATTGGGATTCTGAATAAATCTGTCACTGAATAACCGAAACCGTCATAGAATTGATGACGAGCGAATGAAAGCACGAATAACCCGCTTCTAAACGCCTGAGACGTTTAATCCGCACTCGAAAGAAATTCTACTGATGATTGCAGATTGAGAATATGCTTATTTTCAGGCGTGAATGCATTTCTCGTAGAAGCGGCCACCACATAGAAATAGATCTTTATTAACACATTCGCGACCGGCACATTTTATCCGTTTCAAATACTGAGTACCGGCGAAAATAATGAAATTCTGAAACTAGTTGCCGCAAACTTGTATCGTGTATCGTTATGGACGTGATTCACGTCAGCGGCAATCAGGAATAGAATTTAAAATTACGTGAATTCACGACAGCGGCAATCAGAAATAGAATTTAAAATGACGTGAATTCACGTCAGCGGCAAACCAGGAATAGAACTTGAAAGGACGTGAATTCACGTCAGCGGTCGTGAATGTGTTACGAGAAGTCAAACTGCTATCCACATGAAGAAGAAAGAATTTCTTGAAAGCGAAAACGTTCTTGAGGATGTTTTCAAGGCGAAATAAAACTAGTCCTCAGGTGGAAGAAATCCATAGGTGAATCGTCATGAAATTTAGGAGACGAACGAGTGAATTCTGGACGCCTGAGGAGGTGTCTTGCAAGTGAAGACAAACTCGAGGATGCTTGCAAGACGAAAACAATCTCGGCCTCCGGCGGGAAAAAAAAGCTACCAGATTCACTCAAACCTTTTTTGATGATTTGACAGCATGACGCTCCGCAGCCACCCACAAGACGCCGACGTCACTCAGCCTGCCAGTCTCAGTTGAAGTTCCTTGCTCGCATGCACGAAACTTACAGGTCAAAGTTCTAGAAATACAACTTTATGCTCGCACTAACGAAATGCATCCGAGGACTCTCCACGAAAGACTGACAACTCAAGGCCAACATAAAGGACCCGAGCCGTGCAGAACCTCGTTTCCGTTCGAGAAAAACCCAAATGACGCGCGACCAAGGGACGGCTTAGTGCTTTTTAAATAGATAAGGGGAGGAAGGAGAGGGGTCACAGAAAAATATGACGTAGTTTCGAACGGATACAGTCTTACGTTGTTTGACCACCATTTTATTATCACGATCTAAATCGATACGATACATTACACCGAGAACTATAATGCAATCAATTTACACCTCAAATAATAAATATACGTTAACTAGCTTTATATAGCAATTTTCAATTTTCGTCGAATTTTTTATATCATAGTATAGATTACCCGCAGATGCTATATTCTGCCTGTTGTGTATACCTCGCTGCATCAGAGTAACATCGGTTCTACTGTCACCTCACGCTTTACGATGACAAAATTTGTGACCACTTGTAATATACTGCTTATAAGTATTCATAGCAATCTGACCATTGACTAAATAAATATAATATGAATAATAATTTGTTTTCATTCGATCGCAATCATTCCTGCTACCTGTTTAATCAGCATGTGCTCTTATCGGTAGCAGACTCTACATTCTAAAACAATAGTTCGAAGCGATTCGAGCATGACTTGTTTAAAAAGTACATATATACATTACTGGCGTGTACATATTTCCACCGCATTGGAATGGTTTGCAATGGAATTTCCGAGATCCGCTTCGCTGTAGTAAATATCTGACAAAACTCGGGTTCATCGAGCGTTCTTCCTTTCCCGGGGCAGCTCGCAGTTAAGGGAGATGTCCCGCCTTTGTCTTGACGTTGCCCCGAAGCGTCGTAGATGGCACAGCTTCGAGAGAGTTTCCACCATTCGAGTATATCGCCCTCTTTCCTCTCGTTTCCTGGTCCTTACTGGCCCCATTCTCCGCGAGTCTGTCCCTCTTCCACCTTTTGTGTTTTACGCTCGTCAGCTTTCCTTCACCCCTTTCTCTTTGCGTCCTTTTATGGCATTGAACTTTCTACACTGACCTCACCCACTTGCGCTTTCTTCGTACGCTCGACATTCCCGATTTCTCGGATCTGTCCACAATTTAGCTCTCATAAAATGCAGCTTCCCAATCTTCTCGCACTTCGTTTACCAATTCTGTGAACAACATTATTTATGCACTGTTTAAATCAATGTCACGGGATGACAGGAAAGACGATAAACGCCTTTGATTAGTACGAATACTTTATCGACTAGGGTGTCATGTGTAATGTAAATCGATCTGGGAATATCAAGTACTTCGCAAGTGTTAAAATGAAGATCTAGCTTCTCCTCGTGAAATGGTATTTTAATATCAAGAGCCACAAAACCGTGTGAATATGAAATATTAAAATAAATAATCATAGACTGAGCGCGTTTTGTCCAGTCTTTTCGTGGTAAAAAGTTTAAAGATTCATATGAAACCATCGAATGCAAAATTTTATAATCTATGTAATTCAGCGGCTGGTGTCACTTGATAGGTATTTAAAATATTTATTTAATAACAGATTGGATACGCGGGTTCAGCGTGTTCTATTGCGCGCGAAGATATTAATACCCATCCCGTGTTTAATGTGTTAATATAATTAAAAACGTTAAATAGAAGGTTCACGAGTGTTATCAAATATTATTATTTCTTCCTGCATGATGGAAATATTGATTTTATACGTAATGAGAGTTGTACCAACGATTTCACATTAATTGCGAGCATTAGTCTTTCGCTATGAAGAGGATAGTACAGATCGAGGTAAAAAATGATACCGAATACACGTTTCACTTCCCATATAATGGATTACGTTCATATGAAATTTCATTAACCGTATTAATCAATTAGCTGTATGTATACGTCTTCCTCAAAAATACAAAAATTAAACATATACATCACCTTCAATAACAGGAATACGTCATTTTCTTAAATCAAGTAATACGAATACATCAATTTCCCCCATGAATGTTTTGATAAATTCAATTTCCCCAATTTCCGTGTCTTCTTGAAACTAAAATTCGACGTAAGTTACTTCCCACGTGTTTTTTTTTTATATTATAGTGACGAAAAAGATATATACAAGCAATGACATTTCGCGGAAAGGAAAATAGGCGGGAAAGAAAAAGGTGATACAAAGGGATGAAGTGAGTGCTTGGGGGAGTTTCTGCCATCGTGGAGCGCTGGACAAAGTTTACGCGGCACAAGCACGACAGGTAATAACGTTTGAATGGGGGAAGCCAACCGTAACGTTTGGTTGAGCGTAAGGACGATGACTCGAGGAACGATCAAAGAGAGCTCGACTTTGCTTCGGAAAAATGACAATTTGTTGAATGCCCGGGAAGCCTTCAGCCGCTCCGAGAAGGCTTTCCACGGGTGTGCGACAACTTCTGGCAATGACGTGAATCGAGGATGACTCGATGAAAACCGTAAAAACATCTCCGCACTTTCCACCTCTTTCATCCGAGTGATAACGCGAGCACATCACGCGGAAACATGACGGCCTGTGTATCCGAATCGAGACCGCATCGTGAATTAATATCCATGAAAACGCATTAAAAGTAACGCAATGAAAGCGAACGCGCTCACTCGGCACATTGCAAAATCGAGCGAGTCGTATTATTCATATTACGTGAAAGATGTTCCGAAATGAATAAACCGAGCAACGGTAGTAAACAAAGGGCCTGACAGCAATTCCAACGACTGTAAATTAATTTAAAATTTGTTTAATGTATCAGTTACAACATGATGGCAAACGAATCGATTAACCCTTTGCTGGCGAGTGCTGCAGATAGCAGCCCAATAGCCTGTATAATGGAAAAGTTTCGTCCGCAAAGGGTTAAATCCTGCGAGCCACGCAGGACGGCGAATTATGACGCGTTATCGATACGGATTTGCGATGCATCGTTGTTTTCTGCCCCCAGGGGCCTTAATTTCACATTGAGTCGTAAATATCATTTGCAGGAGAGAAACAGGCGCGTCGAGAGTCGCGAAATACGACCCCGTGACTTTGGCCCGGAAAATTTTAATTCGCAAAAGTTTTGGCCCCGTCGGGGGTAAAACGGATCCAAGCGGTCTCGCCGTGAAAAAAATAAAAAATGGAATTACGCGAAAAGGATTACCTCCTCTTGTTTCTTTTCAAGCGGAATTTCCAGCAGGAACTCGGAAAAGAGGGAGAGGACGAAAGAGGATAGAGAGAAAATGCGTGACACTGCTAACGGAACTATTGTCCACTACGGGGTGGTGGGCTCAAAGGAATTTTTTCCCGCCCTTTCAAATATAACGAAATAACCCCATTTCATTGAAGTGCCCGAGCGAACACTCAAAGTAGCAGACCCCGAGAGTTCCAGCCGAAAATGTCTCGCTCATGGCATTACGGACAGGCTCGTAATGGCATTTCCCCTAAAAGGGAATAGACGTATCGCGTCTCCCGTCAAAGAAAAGACAACCGTGAAATGGTATCTCTGAAACCCGACCCTCTTCGCAAAAGTTCTGCCTCGTAGCCGTGCAATTCCAAAAAGTAAATAAATAAATAAAAACACCCTTAACTTTTTTAAGACCGACAGGGTACAGGCATTTTTTATTCATTAATTTCACCTTTCCTTTCTCCTCCGATTTCTCGTATAAGCGGAGAGAAGAGCAGTAATTAGAGCTGCTAAACGAACCTACCTTTGTAAAATATATCATTCTAGACACCACGGATACGGTTATCCCTAAATATCACGTATAAAAGGCACAAGCGTATGCTCTTACACTCGAAACGGACGCTCTGTAAAGGTGACACTGCGTTAATGCGCTGGCATCGTCAAAGCTCTGACTCCGGGGAGATGTTTTCGGCTCTTTTGAAAACGTTAGACAACATTTCGTTCGACGAGTGGTTGCTTTTGCAGGTTCAAAGAGGACACGGAGTAACCCGACACGGATCCCGGCCGAAAAGCATCCCAAAGTTCTCCCTGGATTTCATCTTTCCAGGGGAGAAATAAACCCAGGAGCATAACGCTCGAGTGGTTACCTGCGAGGGAACGCGGGATGGTCCCTAGAGCCCAAAGTGGACCAATAAAATTCCAATAAATCTCTTATCTCCCTCCTGGAGCTGTCCTTTCGACTCCGAGGAAAAACAAGGTCCCGGACCGGTCCGATATATCCTGCGGGGTCCGAGCCGTGACGTTTCGCGGCCGCGACCGAGGCACTTGTTTGCGGAGACGCGAGAGATTGGATTTTCGTCTCTTTACTCGGCAGATTGCTGGGTGCGTGCCTCGTTTACCGAGTAATGGCTCGCGGCTTGTTCACCGAAGGGGAAGCGGCGTTCATTCGATCAATATTCGGAAGATCGGAGAGGGAAGAAATTCATCAAGATCCGTCTCGAAGTTTCGCCACACATCTCGGAACGACTTTCCGTCAACCCTGAGATCCAGCTATGCGTTTACACTTTTAATACGGCACGGGATGCCCGTAGGCGATACAATTTGATCACAATTTTTTACCGGAAGAAAGCTGGCAATTGGAGCCTTCCTAATGAAACGCTTTAAGAAAATTTAGGGTAATAAGGCTCGTGTTTATTTTTTATTATAGAATAAAAGCGCCAAGTTTGTGGCTCCCTCTATCAGTTAGTAGCATAATCAAGAATCCATTGTGTATGTGTCGGGGCTGTGGACGAGTCCATGATAAATTGAGAGCGATGAGCAATATTCCAAAGTGAAATTTAAAAAATTTGGGTGCAGCGATCAAGCTTTGTGTCGCAAAGTTTCGCGATGTCTTTCCAGGAGGTACATAGTACCTTATATGTTTCTCTATACCGTCATATTAGTTTTGTTGAAAAGTTTTGTTGTTTTAGAGATCATTACCTCAAACTGTAAATTACGCCGTATGGGTAATAGGGCCCGGCATAGGGCAACATAGCGCGACCAAAGGTTTCTCTCAAAAAGGATAAGAGACTATGACTAGTTGCAGCAAATACAACATCGTAAGAAAAATTGAGAAAATACCTGAAGAAAAACGAAGCCTAGTACCTCAAAGAACACCGAAAACTGGTACCGCAGCTTTTACCAACAAAATAGGATCGCCGATATGCGGTAATGTGGCTTGTGCAAGAAATGACTTCACCAAGAATGCCTGAACACAGTATTCGAGGGTCTTGATGACGTAACTTGCCGTAATTTTGATAATTAATGTACATCCTCCCACCGATGTCCTTGGGACTTATTACCCCCAAGGGAAACGAAGCTCAGAAGAATCATCCTAAAATTTCTTAAAATTACATTTTTGTTTAGAATTGTATTTTATTTTTACAGTTTGTGACTGTAATAAACATTCTTCGTGTATACTCTACTCATTTCCCCATCCAAAAATACTGTATTAGTTTTTCAGGCCTTTTAAGTAATGGTGGGCCTTATTACCCTAAAGTACCTTACTCGCGGCAGCGATACGAGCTCACGGAGTTCATGGAATTTTATTGGGCCAGAAACAAAGCCGCCAACCCTGGCTCGAGAGCCATTTGAAATTACCTTCGAAGTATGGCATCGATGCCAGAAGCGATAAGCGTCGGAAAAGCTCCATCACTGGCACGAACTAAAATCCCAGGATGTAGGTGGTAAGTGTACCGGGGTGAGAGTTATTCGCATTTGCGCTTTCAAACTAATATTGACTCCTACGCGGTAATGGGTCCCGGTTAGGGGCATAAAAATCGACTGCCCTGGATTTTCTCCTTCTTCAAGGAGAGTGGTTTCGGAGAAGGTAATTCCGCGTTGCTAATCGAATCCGCGAGCACGGCCCGAAGACTCGATGGCATCTCGGGCTCGGCGCGCGGATTAATTATCCGGTTAACCGGTTAATAAACGACGCACCGCCCCGACTAATTCCCCGGCAACAATTTTCCCGGGCCCGAGTCGCGGAACGTCGAACGGAACGCGAAACACTGAAACGCCGGAAGAGTTTGCTTTGGGTGGCCCGGCACGAGTCGACGATCAAAGCATTCCGCACTTGAACCACTCCTCCGACACTCGTACGGAAGCGCGCGCGTACAACTCGCGCGAACGCGGACGAACACGCGCGAATGCGCGCCGGGACGCGCGAATACCTGACCCCTGCCGCCTACTATCCGCCTACTATCCGCCCACTATTCGCCTAACTACCGCCCGTGTTTCCCGCAGCGCTTTGCAACCCCCGCCAACTTCCCAACCTTTCTCCCTTTGCCGGGAGTTTTTAAGCACCGTAAAGGCGCTCCCTCGGTGGGGCCGCTAAATGTCTTCGTTAAGAGTGGCGCTAATTGAAACGACCGATGCGACCTCGGCTCGCGAAGACTGACTGTTCCTCGCGCGGGGCAGAATTTTTTTTATTCGGTTGGGATGGTACGAAGAATGGAGAATAGGGAATTCTTGCAAGTATCTCATTGGATAACGAAAGAGTATCGGCGGTTGAGTTGCGTTTCGACGAAGTCCGAGGCAACGTCTCTTGGGCGGAATCAAGAAGACAATGTGATGAACGTATGACCGATTGCACCAATATTCCAATTAAAATCTTTAATCAAGGATTATTTAACGGGTAATTAGAGTTAATTGCCCAATGTCAGGTGGTTACCTAACAGCGGATTTTAAACTTACAAAGAAACATTCCCAAGTGTCCGCCCCCGATCTTATTGATTTCCATATACGTTGAAGAACACAAAAATCTAAGAGACTCGTGTTCTTTTATATCTGCAATGGTCCACATTTAAGGGGTGAAACAACCCCCCAAAGTTAGGGGAATATTCGATTTTTATAACAATTTTCGTAGAAGCAATGGAGGGACTTCGACGAAACTTGGTATAAACGTATTCCGTATAAGGACGGTGAAAACACAATATTGTCCAGGGATGCTTCCCCCCCCCCAAGGGGGTGAACTACCCTTCAGGCGACATTTTTTACTAATATCTATTAAACAAGCACTCCTACTTAAGTTCCACTTACGCCGTATGATTGCTCACAAAAAATGAAGAAATACGTGTTTTTTGCTTTTTGCCAATAAACATTTACACATCGGTTGTAAACAATGAATGTAGATAGTATACGGGTATATTTCGACTAGCTATGTTGGATTATATCGTGTCCAATTCATTGTACATAAATCTTGTGAACGTGCTTATTCCTCAAAATGTCGTTGGTTTTCATAATATGCAATTATTTACGAATATCGCTAACTCTATTATCGTAAAAACAGTAAAAATCCAATTTTACCGTTTCACCAAGGAAATTGTATTACTAGTTGGAAACGGATGATGACTGCGTCATCGGAACTGTTGCAAAACTATTTTAGTCTCTTCAACTTTATTTTAAATTTATTTATAAATAATTGCATGCTATGAAAACCAAAGACATTTTGAGGAATAAGCACGTTCACCAGATTTATGTACAATGAATTGGACACGATATAGTCCAATATAGCTAGTCGAAATATACCCGTATACTATCTACATTCATTGTTTACAACCGATGTGTAAATGTTTATTGGCAAAAAGCAAAAAACACGTATTTCTTCATTTTTTGTGAGCAATCATATGGCGTAAGTGGAACTTAAGTAGGAGTGCTTGTTTAATAGATATTAGAAAAAAATGTCGCCTGAAGGGTAGTTCACCCCCTTGGGGGGGTGTAACATTGCTGGACAATATTGTGTTTTCACCGTCCTTATACGGAATACGTTTATACCAAGTTTCGTCGAAATCCCTCCATTGCTTCTACGAAAATTGTTATAAAAATCGAATTTTCCCCAAACTTTGGGGGGTTGTTTCACCCCTTAAATGTGGACCATTGCAGATATAAAAGAACACGAGTCTCTTAGATTTTTGTGTTCTTCAACGTATATGGAAATCAATAAGATTGGGGGCGGACACTTGGGAATGTTTCCTTGTTAGTTTAATTCTTATTGGTGCAACGCAAATGTCGCCAATCCGAGATCAACTGATCATAGTTAAGAAATTTTGCGTAATCGGCTGTTTATGTCGCTGTCGTTGACTGAGTCTTCTGAAATTAGATGAAACGAGAAGTTGCATAAACCTGTAAACAGGTTATGCAGGAAATATTGAGAGGCAAGAGCTATCAATTGTTCTTCTATATGTAAAAGTGTCAAGTATTTGATAAGGTGGTACTCGGTCCTACGATATAAAATCGCGTTTCAATTTCGGCGATGATCCGATTAAACTCAAGATGAAGCATCATATGCATAATCGATCGGTACACAAAATTGCTCGACGCGGATCGTGCGGTTGCAGGGACACTGATTGTATCTAGAATGGCGTACGTTAAAACAATAAGCCAAAATTCACGAGTGGCTTCGCCGGAAGCGTTCGTTTTGTTGAGAAGACATCTATAAACCTGGCTTCCTAGTAGAAGCCGAGTCGAGGGAGTGTTCTCTCAGGAAATCATGGATTTTAATGCTCGAAATTACGAGGAAATCAGCTGGAAATTGCAAGCACACATCACTGGATATCGTTGGACATCACCAAACATTGCCACAATTTTATGACAGATTGCCACTTGTCACCGAATCTCATTGTTGTTCATCATATGAAATCAAAGATAATCGGTTCTTAAGGTAAAGTGAAACCCCCTTCAAATCAGTCGATTCAAATACAACACTTTTTTTAAAGGGTATTAGACCAAACTGTCTGAAACTTTGACACATCACTCCTGATCATCTAAGAATTGTCCTGACACAATCAAAATTTGGATTTATGGAAAAATTTATTTAACTCAGCCCAGACCAGAACAAAAATGGCGTCAAGCTCTCATATTTCGATCAATATACAATTAGGGGAAGGCTCTGATATAAGAAACGAAAGGGTCAGGACAATTTTACGACAATTTAGAACACTCTGGTAATCGATAAACTCGCATCTGAACGGGATAAAGACAAAAAAAGTGTTGTATGCGCTTCTATGCTAAAACGATGGGAATGCGAGGTCTCGGAGTGAACATTTAATTGACCTAGAAATCACAGATGGCGTAGGGTGATCCCTCTGCAGTCAATTAGGGCCCCAGAAAGCATGAATCCAAAGGATTTCTGGAGTTTTACTTCGATTTCTTTATATTTATTGTACGAAAACGACAGGTGGAGTTTGCCATTTGGTACAATACCCAATATAATTCGACACAGCTGTCAATATAAAAACGAACGTCGGCAACGTAGGCATTTAGAAAAATGTTCTTTATCAACGTCGATCAAGTTCCTCGACGTGTTTCACTTCACCTTAAAGAAGGGAATCGTTTTAACTGATTTCGGAGAGAACAGCCCCTCGGGCCGAGCATAAACACGTGGCTGCTTTGGCATGTAAATTAACTGCAATGTGCCCCGATGTCGATCGACGACTCCTTCGGTGTAGCTCGACTTGGTTACTTCCAAAAGACGAGAAAAATTTGTCCAAAGAATATCCGAGTTTTGGATTTCGTGTACCGACACATACGGCGAATGTTTCCCATCGAACGACGTGAAATACGAATCGTTGACGAATTTGCTGTAGGTAGATGGTCCTACAGCCACGCTGGCTTTCATCGCCATTTGTTTCCTTGGATAGATACGAAATGGAAACCCAGCCATGACCAATGGAAAATTGATTATAGATTTTCCAACCTGTAGTTTAAACACGTGTCATGGTCCATGATACGCGTATCGAAAAGTACATTTAGTTGCATACGTCCGTAGAGACGACCGAGTGCCTCCGAATAATGGTATCGAAAAGTAACATGGCAGAGAACGCCAAAGTGGAGTGCCGCAACACATTTCGACGGCCAAATGACAAACTGGTAACAGCCCTTTGTCGATTCCTTTTTTGTTCCTATTTAACGCCGTAGTACAACGTGTGACGCGCTATACCGATATTCGGTTGTTATATAATCACTTACTCCTTCTCAATAGATCCGTTAATATCACATAGTGAAAACATTAATTTAATAACTCGTTTAAGGTACGACTTCCTCTTCCTTCAGGAACTCATAAATATGAGTTTCTAAGAGGGTGTGGTATTTTCGATCCCAAGAAAGGAAAAGGCAATTTCAATGCAAGTATGATAATGCAAAGGACGTAACGGAAGACTGGTTATTAACACGTGTAAATTGTAGGACAGGTTATAAACAAGCCAGCTATCGGTCGTTTCCAGACATAAGAGACCCATACTATCTTTGAATGAAGAAGTACTAAAAACCAGAGACGACTGTTTATGAAGATTGTATTTTGCAACTTATAAAATTGATGAAATTCAACGTTAACGCAGGAAAGGGTTTATTTGCAGCAAATGATTATCGCATAAAAAATATTCGCCACTGGTAAGTAAATATAGCACTCACACTCTGCAGATAATTCCCGAGAGCATTCGGTGAAAGCTGCAAAATACAAAATGATAGTAATTCCAAACCGCACACTCATTTTAGGAGATAGTCTTCCGAAATTGTAAGCTCTTTTTTTCTAGATTTTAATGCGGTGGTTTTAATCTAATGGCAACGATACTTTTTATTGATTAAAACAGGAAAGATTTTTATGCATTAACCGAAGAAAAAATAATCATGTAAACGCTAACGAGAATTACCGTACGTAACATTCTCGAGTCGTTAGACTCGAACTTTAAGGTGATGTGAAAGTGGCGTCGAAGAGATATTGTTTATAAAACTTTTCTCCCACCTCGGTTTACGGAATAGTTTGACACTTTACAACGTGAATGAGGAGACTATAAGGAAGGTCCTGAGACTCGTGAAATTTCAATTCTTTTCAAATTTGTTTATAGGTATTTTAAAAATAGTTTGTAAAAAATGAACTTTCACGAGTTTCAGGACCTATCTTAGAGCCTCCATATTCACGTTTTAAAGTATGAAACGATTTGAGACACCCAGTTCGTGGAAAAGTTTTATGAACGATTGAGCT